AGCCATCACGTATTCAAGCGCCCGTCCCCGCCTCAAAACTACAACTCCCGGCATGCCACGCGCCGCCTGCCCGGCGACCCGCCGGGCGGGAGCGGCTCCGTCCCTGCGCGCTGCATGCCGGGATTTGTAGTTTCACTGCGGGTCACCCGGGAAACGCGAGCGGGGCGGCCGGGAGTGGGGGGGGGTTGCACCCCTGGATGGGGTGAGAACAGGGAGATTTTTCGCCCTCTGAGCGGTTTGGGGCCATTTCCTCACGTACAGCCTAATTTTCTACCTCAGTAACCAGCAGGTCACTGCAGGCTTTTCCTGAGAGTCCCTGTGTTTGTCTCCTAGAATCGTGGTGCACAGGAATTTTAAAGAAAATGGGATCTGAGGTGGCAGTTGGAAGCAATTCAACAGCAAGCAGGATGGATCAAAACTAAATCATACAGAATAACACAAAAGTACACCTGCCCCAGAATCAACAGAACTGGGGTTGTTTCGGATGGGTTTGGCCTATTCGCAAGGGATGGAATACAGAAGAACAATGCCCTGTTTCACAGGAGATGTAATTCAAACCATAAAATCTGGGGGAAAAACATGACTCTGCCAGCAGCTCCAGCACTTCAACACCCTCAATGTCCAATTCTGGGCAGAGAACCGTCAGGGATGCACATTGACGCATCTCTGTGTTAAACCATTACATTAAACCACTTATACAGACCTAGATGCACACAGTAGTTGACAAAGATGTATGCAGAGGAGGAGGAGGAAAAATTACCAGTGACATTGTACATAGCTTGTTTTGGGCCTTACTGTTCTGATCTTTGTAAAACAAAAACATCACAAAAACATTTAAGCAATAGTACGGGAGTCAAGAGAAAGCACATCAGTCATGAACAGAGATACTTAAAAAAGGACTATTTTGACAGAAAAAAAGCAGCTCAAAAGTAGAAATCGAGGTAAGACACCTGGTGTGCAGTAGGATCGGAGGGCCAGTGTGAAGAAAGTCCGCTGGGTCATAAATTGGTGGAGGCTGCGCAGTCTGGAGCAGCGTAACCTGGACGGAAGAGCCAAGGAGAGCGCAGGGATGGATGTTCCAGGGCAGGGTGAGGGCCATCAGTGGTTTGGGAACTCGAGGTGGCTGAGGTGTATGAGGTGCTGCAGGCCGACACGGGGTGAACATGGCTTGGGGTGGGAGGGAGGTGTCGCAGCGTGAGGGGCTGTTATCAGTGCAGGAAAGCGACAGGCAGAGGGAGGCTGGACAGCTGGGGGCAAACGGCCCCACAGCGGCCAAGCTGGGGCTGAGGTAATAAGGGCAGTTGAGGGTGCGCAGGAGGGCAAAAGGGCCGCAGGGGAGGAAGGACCCCTGAGGGGAGGAAGGACCCCCGAGGGGAGGAAGGACCCCTGAGGGGAGAAGGGACCCCTGAGGGGAGGAAGGACCCCCGAGGGGAGGAAGGACCCCTGAGGGGAGAAGGGACCCCTGAGGGGAGAAGGGACCCCCGAGGGGAGGAAGCCAAGCCTGGAGCCGACGGGACGGGGCGCAGCTCACAGCAGCGCAGCGCAGGAGCCAGCGGCAGGGGGGGGGGGGGGGCGGC